CATTATGAGAATCCGCCACCGTGACCCTTTGGCACGAAGTGGAGTGTCCCCAGGTCCCTTGTTCAACCCTTCAGCCTCGGTCTTCAATCCTGAGGATTCTCTTTAGGGCCCAGGGCCCACATTCTCAAATCTCCTGGGGCCCGCCCAGACGCTCCACCACCACCACCGCCGTCTTAGAGTCTAGGGTCGTCCTGAAGCCCTCTTGGGCCGTCTTGGGGGGCTTAGGCCATTTTGGGGTCCTCCCGGGCCCCTCTGGGGCCCTCTTGGGAACCTCCTGAGGCCCTCGTGGGGCTCTCTTGGGGACCTCCTGAAGCCCTCTTGGGGCTCACTTAAAAACCTTTCGGGGCCCTCAGGGGCCTCTCTTGGACCGTCTTGGGGCGATCTTGGGCCGTCTTGGATCCCTCGTGGGCTCTCTTGAGCCGCGTTGGGGCCGTCTTGGGGGCCTCTTGTGCCGTCTAGGGGGGATCCTGGGGGCCTCTTGTGCCGTCGTGGACCCTGCGAAGACCAAAAAAGCAGACATGCACGCTTTCCACAAGGAATGGGGCGATATTTGCCTCTGGGGCGTCCTTTTGGAGGCCTCGTGGAGCGTCTTGAGGGCCTCTTTGGCTGTCTTGAGGCCATCCCAGGCCCTCTTTGAGCGCTCTCGGGCCGTCTTGGGCCGTTTGGGGGCCCTCTGAGGCGCTCTTGGGGCTGACTTGGGCAGTCTAAGGCCGAACATGGCCGACAATTGGGCCTTTGGGCCGTCTTGGGGCTGTCTTGGGGCTGTCTTGTGCCGTCATGGGGCGATCCCGGGGGCCGCGTGGGCAGTTGTGGACCCTGTGAAGAACAAAAAAAATAAAATCAGCTAAAAAAAAAAAAAAAAACGATTTCCCACCTAATTTTGGAGGCCTCGTGGAGCGTCTTGAGGGCCTCTTTGGCCGCCTTGAGGCCATCCCAGGCCCTCTTTGAGCGCTCTCGGGCCGTCTTGGGGACCTGTTGGGCCTCTCTGACGCCGTCGTGGCGGTAACTTGGGCGCTCTTGGGGCCGTCTGCGGCTGTCTTAGGGCCCTCTGAGGCACTCTTGGGGCTGACTTTGTCCGTCTAAGGCCGAGCATGGCCGAAAATACGCCATCAACCTATTTGGCACAGTTACGGAAAGCGCTCGTACTCTGCAAGGGCGCGGGATCGCTTGCTCAGCGTCTTGGACCCATCTTGGGGTTAAAACTTGTGGCACGCCATACAAACAACTAGCAACCAAACTTGCGAAAATCATGGGCAGCATTGGGGCCCTCTGTGGTCGTCCTGGTGCCCTCTTGGGCTGTCTTGGGGGGCCCAGGGGACATCAAAAACGGGTCCAGGGCGAAAAGCTGCCCGTGGGGAAATGATTGTTTTAAAAAATCTGGGGCGTGGGCGGGAAAAAAACGCATCGTCGGATGCCTGGGTTGCTGTCGCGGGTGCGCCGCAGAGGGTGACCAGGAAGAGGGGGCGCAGTGCGTCGTGCATCGGGTCCGAGGCACGCGCGCGGGCGAGGCAGGGACGCGGGATGCACTGAGAGAGAAAACAAAAGGGGGACCACGATCCGCCACCGTGCCCCGCGGCACGAAGTGGTGTGTGTGTGTCCTCAGGTGGTGGAGGGTGGAAAAGGAGGTGGGCGTGCTGGGCCGTAGCCCGTGGGCTTGCCTCTGTCGGCGTGCCGGTGTCACGGCACCGACCGTGCAGGCGTGCTGCAGCGGATGTTGCGCGGATGTCTGCCAGTGCCAAACTCCGAAACGGCAATGAAAAACGAAATGAATGAATTTCGCGTGGATTTTTGTTTTGTCTTCATTCCTGGCCAAAAAATCCGCGCGAAGTTCACCTCGAGATCCGAAACGAGATCTTCCAGGACACTCCGGGCCCATCCTGTCCCTTTTCCGAACGAAATCCGCTCTGCGATGTTGGCGCGATGACCAGTGGCCTTGCCCGTGTTCTCGGGTCCCTCAAGAGTCCCCATGTGCTGAAGGGCGTGTGACACTCTGCAGGGGCACACGGCCCCGAGGTCTGGGCGCTCCCGTAGCTTCCCGCGTGCTCCCGCGTGCTGTCGCGCTGATTTGTCGGAGGGGAAGATGCTCTCAAGGTACAGTAGGAGCTCGACCACACGAAACCTTCCACAAGAAACCTACCTCTGAGACCCCACGACTTCCATGGACTCTTGGTGTGGGAGCGTCGCGCTATCCACAGCAAAACCGTCGAAACCCGAGAAACCCAGGGCACCCTGGAGGCAAGAGGGTGTTTCTTGGCATGGGTTTCCACTGTAATTCAAAAGCCGCCGAGATGGTCCAAGAGAGCCCAAGACGGCCCCAGAAGCGCCCAAGACGGCCCCTAGGACGGCCCAAGAGGCCTCCAAGAGGCCCTCCAGAGAGGTCTTTCAAAGGTTTTGGCCTTTGCTTCTTTTCGGCCCTCCGACGGCCCAAGACGGCCGATTACCCCAAGATCACCTACGAGGCCTCCAAAATGGCCCCAGGACGGCCCCAGAGGCTCCCGAGACAGCCCCCAAGCGGCCCCAAGATGGCCCAAGAGGCCTCCAAGACGCCCAAGATTGCCTTCAAAACGACCCTGAAGCGCCACAAGAGGGCCCCAATACGGTCCAGAGAGGCTCCCAAGACGGCTTCCGCCGGCGTCAGAAGGGCCAGGAACGCCAGAAGACGGCGAAAGAGGTCCCAAGAAGCCCTCAGAGGCCCCCCAGAGGCTCAAGGAGGCCCCACAGGGGCCTCCAAAGGGACCCCCAGGAAGCTCCCAGGAGGCCCCAAGAATGACCCAAGAAGCTCGCAAGAGGAATCATCATCCTTTCCTCATCCTCTGTTTTCATCCCTCTCCTCATACACCTCTTATTCCCCCACGTGTTTGCCGAACGAAGGGGCTTCCGCAACGGCTGGGGAAACGCATGGTAGTGTGGCCAAACTTTGCCCAAACAGTTGGCCACATAGGCGTATCCAAAAAGGCAGGGGGCGGCGGTGATTCGTCATAGGCGTCTTCGATCATACACCCAAGTGGCACGGGGCGGGCTCCAGGAGGGGAAAACTCATGGCGTGCGCTCCTGAGGATGGCTCGTGGCTGCTTGGTAAATCCCTGTGGGGAATTCCTGGGGTTGCGCCAGGGCCGGCTCCCCGAGTGGGCTCCTCGCGAAGACTTCCAGGAGGTCTCATTGGTGGGCTCCCAGGAACCCCCGCGGAGGGTACTCCCGGAGAGGCTCCCTGGGCGGGCTCCCAGGGTGCGGGCTTTTCTGCCCCCCGTCGCAGATTCGGGGGATCGGAGGGCCCGGGCGCGTGCCACAGCAGTCCCAGAGGGCCCGAGGTTATACGTTTGGCACTCGACGCTGCGCGAAACATGCTCTTGCACAAGGGGCCTCATGCGGTGCAACGGCGGTCGCTGATGCAGATGGTGTTTCCTCCCGATCATCGTCGTGCTGCCACCTACAGTAGGAGCTCGACCACAAGAGACCTTCCACAAGAAACCCAACCCTGAGACCCCAGGAAGTCCCTTGACCTTTGGTGTGAGAACGTCACGCTTTCCATAGCAAAACCTTCGAAACCCAAGAAACCCAGGGCCCCCTGGAGGCAAGCAAGGTGTTTCGTTGCATTGGTCTCCACTGTACTACCATCGGGTGCCCTGCAGACTCGGACGCAAGTCAATGCCACTGCAGAAACACCTGCGCAGTGCATTACCACACCATGCAGGCCACAAACTGTGGCCAGGCCGATTAAGTCTACCTTTAGATCGGGCATGTCCCCCTACAGGCGGGTTTTGGATTAAAAATAAAGTTTAACAAGTGCTCAAACATAATCCAAAAAAAAACGTTCCCAGACTAGGTATGTATTTACTATTTCCGAATATTTCTCCTGTAGAGGGACACGCCCGACTCAAGTCTATCTCCGACGCGGGCGTGGGTGAGCCCGCACTTCTTACAGTGGCGGTCGCTGCTTCCTTTTGACGACGACTCTCGCACAAGGCACGCCTGCCGCGTCGGACGAACTGTGATGGGCCCTGTTTTCCACCACCACCACCACCATAAGTCGGAGGGGGGAAGGAGGTGGAGGACGAGGAGAAGGAGGAGGAGGAGGACGAGGAGGAGGAGGAGGAAGAGGAGGAGGAAGAGGAAGAGGAGGACCCCCTCCCCCTCCGACTTGATTATGGTGGTGGTGGTGATGGAAAGCGGGCCCATCGAGCTGGCCCCCGCCGCTCCTCGACCCGCCCCGCCCCGCGCGCGCGCGCCGTCGCGCGCCGTGCGCACCGCGGCCGCTGCTCCGACGCTGCTCGGCAGCCCGGCCGGGGCCTCCTGCGCGGTCGGCGGACGCCTCTCCGAGCACGCGCCTCGGGCCCTCCCCGCCCACTGGCGGCGCGCACAAAGGTCGGGGGCGCGCCAACATAGATTAGCGATCCGTGGATTTGGCGCGCGGTCGCCAAATCCACGGATCGGGGCATGCGTTCTCCCAAAAATGCGGCCGGGGCCGCCTCGTTCAGCGGCTCAAGTCCACTTTTCCTATGGAAACGGGACCCGTCGCTAATCCACGCCCCCTTGATCCATGTTTGCGATCGCCTGACAAGGGGGTAGGGGGAGGGGGAGGGCCTCCTAGAACGAGGCTGCTTCTTGGGCGCCGGCCTCACATCTACAGGCAAGGCCCGCGCCTTCTAAGGATCAGGGGCGCTTCTAAGAAGCCTTTCCCCCCTCCCCCTACCCCCGCTGCGCGTGGCCGAGCCTCTCCGAGCACGCGCCTCAGGCCTGCACGGTTTCCCCTGGGGCCGTAGGCGACCCGAGGAGGAGGAGGAGGAGGAGGAGGAGGAGGAGATGGAGGAGGAGGAGGAGGAGGAGGAGGAGGAGGAGGAGGAGGAGGAGGAGGGGGAGGAGGAGGAGGAGGAGGAGGGAGGAGGAGGAGGAGGAGGAGGAGGAGGAGGAGGAGGAGGAGGACGGGTCGCCTCAGCCCCTTTGGAGGAACCCTCCACCCCCATCCCCCTCTGCGCGTGGCCGAGCCTCTCCGAGCACGCGCCTCAGGCCTCCCCGTCCAGCCTGCGGCCCTGCCCCTGGAACGGCGCCGGGGGCTGGCTCGGGGGCCCGTGGCCCTGCCGCCGGGGCCCGGCGGCCGCCAGGGGCACGCCCTGGCCCAGGGCGTCGTAGCTCGGGAGCTCCCCGCTGCGGCCCCAGAGCTCCTGCGCCCGGTCGTTGCAGTCGATGACTGAGCATGTGCTTGGGGTGGAGGGTTCAGGGTGAAGCCCATCTGGGCGCTTGCACCTCGAAAATCAATCCGTCCTGCCATTCACCCTTTGCAAATTCGGGCCTCGGAAATCCATCGAAACGGCATTTCAGATTTCACCCTCTGCCCTCCACCCGAAGAAAATGCTCGGGATAAAGATGCTGTAGCTGATGGTAGGGGAACGAAGAATGACATAAACATAGAACTCGGAGGTCCGCGCGGACTTCTCGGATCGGCGCTGGACCCCCCCCCTCCCTGGCGCGCGGCGGCGCCGCCAGAGGGGTGCAGCGCGGATCTGAGAAATCCGCGCGGACCTCCGAACTTTTTTGTTGAGGTCATTGTTCGTTCCCCCGGATGAGGGCCGACACCAGGAGCAGGACTGGGCTGGAGAGGAACACCAGCTGGGCCAGCAGGGCAAGCGCGGGGGCCTTCGGGTCCCCGAGCTTGTACTTGGAGTGCTGGAAGTAGAGCACGCAAGACACCACATCGAAGATCGCAGAAATGATGGCCATCACGGAAAAAAAGCACGCGCTGGAGGCATTGATCCTGTACTCGCCCGTGAGCACGAACAGCCCCATGAGAACCACGAAGACTAGACTGAGGCCTCCCCAGAAGTCGCGGATCATGAAATGCCCCACGACCAAGACCGTCAGGGCTGCAAGCGACAAGATGAAGACGGGGCGCATGCGGATAGCGAACTCTGTTGGCGGCAGGTCGACATGGTAAGCGAGCATGACAGCCAATTACCAGGCCAGAGACAACCCCCAGGCACCACGAAGGATCTTCGCGCGTCCGAAATGGGGACAACATCGACTGGTCTATGCCCGAAGTCGACTATGACTGCTGTTGGACGGACGGCCTTCGCCAACAGACGAACAAGGACTAGGACCGTCATGTAACCGATGTGAAGCCCATTCGGGCAAGAATTTTGGTCGATCATTGTTCACCCACCCCATCCCATTCAATTCCGATACTATCCCATCCCCCCTCCCAACACCCCTCCAGGCTACATTCGTTTCCAAAGCCTGCAGCAGTTGCATCGATGCAAGGAGGGTCCCATCATTATGGAGCTGTCCTTGGACACCTCCTCATCATCATGACGACAAACGTTACAAGTGCAAAAGGTGCACGGATAGAGCGCAGTCCCTTTTCCAAATAGAACTCTCGCTTGAGATTCCCCGGGCTCTGTGGCAAGACGATTGAAACTGCGCAGCGGTTGCACGGATTGAAGGCGGCTCCTCGCCAAACTGGGACTGCTGCTTGACACTTATTCGGGCCTTCTGACCTGTCGGCGCTTCGGCTAGCTCCAATGAGACAAAGACGCCCCCTGTTTGAAACAGTGCCTCGCCGGAATGACAGGCCCACGGGGCGTTCGTCTGCCAGGGGGGCGGTTTCTGCGGTAGGAACGCCTTTACGGACTGATGCGAGGCCTTGGGACGGGAATGTGTGCTGCAGCATCCTTAGTGAATCATCGGTGGAATCTGGCCCTCCTCTTCACCCCCGTCCTGCTATTCATCATCATGATTAACATCATCACCACCACCACCATCATCAGCATCAGCATCATCACCATCATCAGATGCATCATCATCACCACCACCAGCACCATCATCATCAGCAGCATCATAATCATAATCAGCATCACCATCATCATCAGCATCATCGGCATCATCAGCATCATCAGCAGCATCATCAGCATCATCAATCATCCGCATCCTCCTCATCATCATCAGCATCATCAGCAGCATCGTCAGTAGCAGCATCATCATAATCAGCAGCATCATCATCAGTATCAGCATCAGCATTAGTCTCATCATCACCATCATCAGCATCTTCAGCAGCAGCATCATCAGTAGCATCAGTATCATCATCATCAGCAGCATCAGCTTTAGCATCAGCATCATCATCATTATCATCAAAATCAGCAGCAGCAGTGTCACGATCACCATCATCATCAGCATCATCAGCATCATCAGCAGCATTATCATCTTGAACATCGGCAGTATCAGCATCATCAGCATCATCATCATCAGCAGCCGCAGCAGCGACAGCAGCAGCAGCAGCATCATCATCATCAGCATCATCATGACCAGCATCACCAGCATCACCATCGCCATCGCCATCACCATCACCACCATCATCAGTTTATTATTATTATTTCCTCATGCCTCATTTCTCTCCCCTCCTCTTCTTCCCCTTCCACATACTCATTCTCCCCGTATCATCCTCTCTCTTCTTGCCTTCTCCTCCTCGTCCTCCTCCTCCTCCTGCACGCTCCTCCACTGGCACCTCTTCCT